GTTTCCACGCTGTAAATTGTTTCTCTATTGATCTGAGTTTGCGTCGTCAGCAATCTGGAATGGCTGAACTTTGAAATGCTTAATTCAGCCCTATTCAGCCGATAATTTTGTTTTTATCCTCCCAAACATAAATGCCTTGCCTCACTCTATTTTTCCTGCAAGTAATAAAATCAATTAAAGCTATCTTCATTTCCCCCACCTCCTTTCCCAACCACCCCCCTAATCTAGACGTAGCCTTTTCGGTTTGGAGACATTTGCAAATGTCAGCATGTTCCAAGTCTTTTCTTTTTTGGGGAGAGAGGATGTTTTAAATTCAACGCTCTTGCATTCAAAGAATAGAACAGAATAGAAACCAGGGAAATTGGGAGGACAATCTGAAGTTATTGTTGAAGGGAAGGTTAACATATCCGTTGTGACCATTTCCAGGTACTGTGATTATGTATTTATTTACTGGAGTTTTATCCCACCTTTCACAGAGTCACAAACTTGGAAGGGGTCTTGTAGGTCATCTAGTCCAACCCCCTGCTCATGCAGTTGGCTTTCATGGCTAAGGCGGGACTAAAACTCCCCATCTCCTGGTGATTGGCCCAAAGTCACCCAGATGGCTTTCATGCTGAAGGCAGGACTAGAACTCACTGTCGCCTGGTGATTGGCCCAAAGTCCCCCAGTTGGCTTTCATGGCTAAGGCTGGACTAAAACTCCCCATCTCCTGGTGATTGGCCCAAAGTCACCCAACCGACTTTCATGCTGAAAGCATACTAGAACTCATTGTCTCCTAGTTTCCAGCCTGATGCCTTAACAGCTAGACTAAAGAGGCTCCCATTGAGGATTAAGGATGCTCAAGGACTTTATCTGGGTCTTTTACAGAGAATTGACCTCATCCAAGCCTCCTGGAGAAATGGATGGATCCAAGCACAATATCAAACAATATATGCAAATTTTGAAAACAGTTTAGGGAGAAATTTAAGGATACAAATATAGAAGGGGCAAGAAAGGCCATCCCCCACAAAGCTAGCTGTGAATGTAAGTATTTAAAATATTTCCCTTTTTAAAATGTGAAAACAGGGCACATCAGACTTGCAAATGAGCCTATATGAAACTGACAAGGACCGGGAGAAATTTAATGTGTGATTGGATGAGATGTAATTGCTGCTGGAGAGCTGCAGGGGGGAAAAAAATCCATACAATTTTAAAGATTAAAATTCAAATACAACCGCTAACCTTGAGCGCCTTTCCTGAAAACCTTGACCTGGGCCCACAGTATATACTACACCGTGCTGTTTAACACCCTGGATATAGAGGATGGACCACAACTGGCCAAGTTAATATATAATTACGGTTAAATAAACCTCCCTGTTGCCTAACAGCCTTTGTCCTTACAGATGAAATGGTCCTTTCTCTCCCCAGTTTTCCCACTGACAAATAGAATTGGGGTGTATGTGTGTTAGTGGCTATAACAACAACAACAACAATAATAATGTTGGAAGGGACCTTGGAGGTCATCTAGTCCAACCCCCTGCTCAGGCAGGAAACCCTATACCATTTCAGACAAATGGTTGTCCAGTTTCTTCTTAAAGACTTCCAGTGTTGGAGCATTCACCACTTCTGGAGGCAGGTTGTTCCATTGGTTAATTGTTCTCACTGTCAGGAAGTTTCTCCTTAGTTCTAGGTTGCTTCTCTCCTTGATTAGTTTCCACCCGTTGCTTCTTGTCCTGCCTTCAGCACTTTGGAGAATAACTTGACTCCATCTTCTTTGGGGCAGCCCCTGAGTTATTGGAAGATTGCTATCATGTCCCCCTTCATCCTTCTCTTTGTTAAACTAGACATTCCCAATTCCAGCAACCGTTCCTTATATGCTTTAGCCTCCAGTCCCCTGATCATCTTTGTTGCTCTTCTCTGTACTCTTTCCAGAGTCTCAACATCTTTTTTACATCGTGGTGACCAAAACTAGATGCAATTTCCATATTGCTGTTCATCTGACTTATACCCTACAGGCTGTCCTCAACTTAGGACTCCAACTGAGCCAAGAGCACTTGTGAAGTTCATCTTGCCCCATCTTGCCATCTTTTTTTTTTGCTACAATTGTTAAGCAAATGACTACAGTTGTTAAATGAATCACGTGGTCATTACGTGAAATTAAGTCCCCCCCATGACTTAACTTGTCTCGGAAGGTGGCAAATGGCGATCAGATGACCTCAGGATCCTGCATCCGTCATAAGTGCTTGCCTGTTGCCAAATGCCCGAATTTTGATCACGTGACCATGAAGATGCTGCAACAGCCGTTAAATGTGAACGACAGTAGTACATTGCTTTTTTTCAGAGCTGTTATATCTTTGAACAGTCACAAATGGCTATGAATCGAGGACTCCTCACCCCGACAATAAGCGGGTACATTTTAGTGACCTCCCAAACAACCGGCTTGTTTGAATGTGTTCCCCAAAAGTTGTATAGGAACCCCAGAGTTGTGGTACAGTTGGAGCTAAGACATACAGTACCAATATTTTAAGGAAAACAAAAAACAACATGGAATTGGTAGTAGTTCTCCCTCCCAACCCCCCCCCCAAAAAAAACTTTTTAAGGCTTTGAAATGCAACCCCAGAAACCAACAAGATTCCTAAAGGTTTTTCTCAGACCAAGAGTGAGGAAGTCGAAGTACCTAACACTTAAAAGAATAGTTTCAATTTACCCTTTTACTTAACATTCCTTTTTTTTCCTTGTTCCTTTCAATGTGCTGGCTTTGATTTTGTTTTGTTTTGTTTAAATGACTCTGAACGGTTTGGGAGCAGAAAATTGCTTCCAATAGATATGTTTCCAATACTGGAGATGGGAATTGAACTGGGTGGATGGCCATAAGATCCCTAGGCCCAATTCTGGGCTACCCACTAATTTTTTTCCATTCTGCCTTGCAATTGACTAGACTTGAAGAAATCGACCCTGTTTTTAACTCAAGAAACATGGCTCAGAGTTAAATTTTACGAATTTCAATTTATGGAAATGATAACAGCAATAATGACGCTTAACACAATATTGCCTGCCCCTAATTACTTTAGTGGGCAAACGTTTCCACGCTCCTTTCTCCCAGTTCAGAATTGGTTTTTGTAATAAATTTTAGTAGCACTGAACACCGTTAGATCTGGCGTTAACAATGACAAATGGTTTAGTCACTTTAACGGCTACAAGCTTTTGGGTGGCCCAATTCCAATTATGGAAGAAGAAAACTTAAATGCTTGCATCATAATAAAGCAAAAGAAAGGGTTTTTTTTTCTTCAAAAAATGCCCTACAGACTTTTTTTTTTTTAGCCAATACAGTGGGTTTCCGTCTCATGAGCAGCCTTTGGTGTTTCAGTGTTGGATTAAAATCTCAGGATAAGTGGTCCTGTGTTAATCATGCTATGGTTGTTAAAGGGGGAAAAAAAACCCTAAGAATTTTGGAGAAATGGGGGGGTGGGGGTGGGGAAATCCCACAGCTGCCTATTCATTAAGATCTATTCAGTTAAAGGTTTTTAAAAAAAGCAGAGCTGCACATCTGTTTAGTGAAAAGAGTCTCCCCACCAGCTTGTTATTATCCTGGTAAGTGTCTAATATACAAGGACTTCCTGTGAGTCACCAGGAAGACTTATGAAAGGGCTGCTTTATACCAAAATCTTTGAAAGCAACTCCTAGAATTAGGGATGCAACGGTCAAAACAGTTCCAATCTGTTTAAAGTAAAAACCTCTTTGAGTTGCCTTCAGTGTTATAACTTCACTGATGGAGGATAGATTAGATGGATGGATGGATGGATGGATGGATGGATGGATAGATAATAACGATGATGATGATGGAAGGAAGGAAGGAAGGAAGGAAGGAAGGAAGGAAGGAAGGAAGAGAAAAAGAAGGAAGGAAGGAAGGAAGGAAGGAAGGAAGGAAGGAAGGAAGGAAGGAAGGAAGGAAGGAAGGAAGGAAGGAAGCAGAGCTGGGGATGGAGTTAAGGGAGTCATTAGCCTGGAGTCATTGCGTTCCCAAAATGGTTTATGTCCAATCCCCCTTGAATTCCATTGACTCTTATCTAGAGCCAATGTAGTGCTGAACGTTAGTTGACCAGAGTCTTGTGTATATGCATGAGCAATAAATCAGCTAGATTGGAACTTAACGTGTGGTCCTCATTCTTCACACCTGACAATAGAAGTGTTTGCGATTGCTTTCATGTAAATTATGGTTTCTGATTTCCCCAAGGTAATCTATAGATTTTGGGATTCTTGATGGTTTCCCATCCAGGTAGAAAGCCGGTCTGACTCTGCTGAGATTTTGTGATCAGGCAACGTGGTCTGAAGTTTGGTTATTTTTTGTGATAGTCATGTCACCATTTTAATTACTTCAGAGCTTAATCCAGAGCTGAAATGAATGGTTATTATAAGCAAAGAAGACTGAATGAAATTCTATGCAGTATAAAATGAACTGAGCTAATTGCAAATTAAATACAGAGTAGTGATATAGCGATAGAAAGAATGAAGTGTCTAATTTATTGATCTTCAATGCCTTGCATCCTTTATTAGTCTTCATCTTCATTTGAGATTGGGTCCCCCCCCCAAAGTTTGATCTCCTTGGTAATTATATTATTGGCTAAACTTGGATTAAGTCTGCTTGAGTCCATTTTGACAGTGCTTTTTCACACAAGGGGAGAGTCACTTAATCTGATCGCTGAGTTAATCTATTTTCTGAGTCTGCACAATACTCAGAGAAAGCAAAGAGACTGAATAAGACACCATCCAGATATACAAACACAACACAACTAACCAACTTTACCTTTGGAGAATGTAGTTTGTCAAGACTTTAATTGACTCTATTTTTTTTTTTACGGTGCTGTGTATATATATATATTTCAAAAAGTGGTCAAGCTAGCTGGGGCCAATGGATCTTGAAGCCAAAAATAGCCACAAGCTCCCAGTTCCTGCTTTATATTAAAATCTAGTTTTCTTGATTTTCCTGTGCCAACCAGAAACCTTTTATGTAACATGTCCAGGTGGAGAAACTGGTGCAGGGTCAAGAATTTGGAGAGCTCGTTGCAAAGAACCAAAAGGTCAACTCAAGAGAAGATCCATTCTTCTAGCATCTGCATCTGGACAACTGAGGGCTTCAGGTGGCTGAGAAAGATGGACAAATGGAAAAAAGCAAATGAGACAGATAATCTTACACGAAGACAAAGGTAACTGACCTCAACTACAAACAGAAGTATTTCATACTCAGAATCGTATCCCCCTTTTAGAACCCACCATTGCTATCGCCATTCATGTATTTTTTGTACGAGATTTGTTAAGCCCATTTCAATATTTTTAATCGGGATTTTTTTTTGTTTTGTTGTTGTTGCCTGTTGCTCTTTTCTAACATCCCAAAGCCTGCTGGCCAGTTAATAAGAATGGGTTCCCAAGGCACCCTATTAAACCCAGTGCAATTTTTGCAGGATTTGTAAATGGACAGTGTCCTCTCTCTCCCTCTGCTCCTTCAAATGTTCTTCTGTTGATAAGAGATGAAGGGACCAGATAGAATGGTGATGGCGAACCTTTTAGAGACCGAGTGCCCAAACTGCAACCCAAAACCCACTTACGCATCATCGGGTGCCGGGTGGGTGTGGCCCATTGGCTTGGTGTGGCCCATTGGGTGGGCGTGGCTGCGGTGGTGATGTCAGACTGGGTGGGACTAAAAGGTTCAATCAATTCCAACTTTGCAAGATCTTTTTTTCCCCGCGAGAAGTTGAAATTGACTGACTGATTGAACCCCCCCCCTTTTTTTTTGCACACGGTGGCGGAGGCCTAAAGCGAAAAGATTTTATAAAACCCAGCTGAAGGCCTAGGACTAGGGTGATGGTGCGCATGCCCACAGAGAGAGCTCTGAGTGCCACCTCTGGCACCCGTGCCATAGATTCGCCACCACTGAGGTAGAAGTTCTCCTTTCTCCGTTTCCTGCTTTCTTGTGGTATGGTGGTTTTTCATGCTTGGCCTTCTTTTACACCTCCTCCAAAAGATTCTGGTCTGATACTTGAAGCCTTCGCCCACTTAAGAAGCTGCAGTGGTCATTGCAATTTGTCCTGAGCAGAGAGAAACTCATTTGGAAGGGAATTGGGTTTTTTTTTTCTCTTAATACACTTCAGAGGTCATCTATTTCTTCCTGAAGACTTGCTGTTCTGTCATTCCTTAGCAAACGGTTTGCATTGATAGTTGTGAAGGATCATTTTTTGCCTCAGTTTTTAAGGCCAGGGAAAAGTGAAGAATATGGAAAAGAAGGAAGGAAGAAAGGAAGGAAGGGAGGGGGGAGGAAGGAAGGGGAAGGGAAGAGAAGAGAGAAGAGAAATATAGAAGAGAAGAGAGGAGGAGGGAGGGAGGGAGGGAGGGAGGGAGGGAGGAAGGAAGGAAGGAAGGAAGGAGAAGAGGGAAAGGAAAGGAGGGAGAAAGGAAGAAAAGGGGGGAGGGAGGGAGGGAGGGAGGAAGGAAGGAAGGAAGGAAGGAAGGAAGGAAGGAAGGAAGGAAGGAAGGAAGGAAGGAAAAAAGGGTGAGGACACCAATTGCAAGTCTCTTTTTTTAGTGCCATTGTAATTCAGTCACTAAACAAATGGTTGTAAGTTGAGGACTACTTGTATCATAAACAACTTTAAGAAAATCCAGATCAGTAGGATATTGGCCTTCCAATACAGACAGTAAAATGAAACTAGATATTTTTTTTAAATGGATCAAGAGAGCTGGACAATCAAAGCATTGTGATGGACAGAATTCTGTGTTTAATATGCCACTTTGGCTCAATTAAGCCAATTAACAATTGCCTGCAGGCTGTAACTACAAATCCGTGAAGTCGTTTGAGTACATCTTTCAGGAGAGACATCAGTCAGGGTTGGACAAGCACTGCTCTCTCTCTCTCTATACAGTACATATCTGTGTCTAATTACTATGACCAATAAATCTTGTTTGTAATGCTTTTTAAGAAATAGACTACAAGGGGACACTGTTAGCCAAGAAAGAAAATGAAAGCGGTTTTGAGTAATGGAAATACTAATGTCTAACATTGAATTAAATATTACATTTGCATCGGAGATTTACAAAATCTGAAAGGCTGAACTTGACCCCAATGAACCAAAACTCATTGCAACACAGTGTATACCAGGGGTGTACAATCCTGGGCAACTTTAAGACCTGTGGACTTCAACTCCCAGAATTCTCCAGTCAACCATGCATAACCGGCTGAGGAATTCTGGGAGAAAGGAAAGAAAGAAAGAAAGAAAGGGAGGGAGGGAAGGAGGGAGAGAGAAGAAAGGAAGGAAGGAAGGAAGGAAGGAAAGGAAGGAAGGAAGGAAGGAAGGAAGAAAAGGGAGGGAGGGAGGGAGGGAGGGAGGGAAGGAGGAAGAAGGCAGGAAGGGCCCTGGGCAAGTGCATTTAATTTCCCAACAACTTTTTAAATTAATCAGAGAGACACCTCTAAGTAGATGTTTGGAGTTGGGGTGATACCGAAGCTATTGCTGAAATCTGCAATCCGATCCATTCCCATCAAGGTGGTAACAAGGCTGTAAATTTGAAATGGAATGGAAAGGCCTGATAATTGGATCAATAAGCTGCTAATGACGGAATTGAATCACCCCTCCTCCGTTTGATGAGCGATACGATAGAAATGGTCATAGTAATGTATGAGCTCTGTAGTTACCAAGAGGGTAAGATTCTATTTCACTGTGCAAAGATGAGTTGAATGTTGGGCATGCCAAAAAGAGAACAAGAGTAAATTAAATGTCTCCTTGCTTTTCCTCTGCATAATATCTGATTCCTTTTCTGCTGCTCAGTACTTTATTTTCCCACGGGCAATTGATCTGCTGAAACCGTAGATTGGAGAACTAGGAAAAAGGGCAATTGACTATTGTTAGAGCCGGTCAAGACAAGCCGACAAAACAGCAACTCAGTTGGTCAATATGGACAAAATTCCTTGGGCAGACTCCCATTCAGGATTTAATAGGGTTTTGAAGGAGATATCTCCCAAACTTTCCTGCACAGGAGAAGCAACATCTGTTCTGTCTCAGCCTACGAGAGTCCTTGCTATGCTCACAAGGAGAAACCCCTCTTCCAAGAAACAGGCAGGAATTGCAAGAAAAAACCAACCTCTTTTATTCTCACAGACCTGAGTCAATGTCCAAGGCAAACAAACACAGTTCACAGAAACTCCATCCTCAACATGAACGGTTGCCTTTGGCAACCAGCACCTCCACATCTTTCTTTTTATAATTCAGCCAAGGCGTGGCTTACTAATGCCTTCTCCTTTGCCTTTGGAGCCGCCCCATTGCATTCCTCTGTCCTACTCACTTCACTTGCCTGTGCCTTCGTGCATCCTGGATTTGTCCCAGCTGTTCTTCATCACTGTCCAACTCAGACTCCCAGCACAGCTGTGTCTCAGCCTGAGTGCGAGTAGAGGGGTCAGGCTCCTCGTCCAACTGTAAGTCTTGGAGCTCCTCAGAGCCTTCCTCTGACTCTGATGTCACTCCAGACCCCCCCTTCCTCCTCTGATTCCTCAGCTGCTGGATCCATAGGCTGGCGAGGAATCACAACACTATCACCCAAAATATTCTACCAAGAATCTATGTCCTTAAATGGGAACGATTGATCAAGTTTGACAGCCAGCTCAGAGTAGCGGTGAAGATGCTGGCCTAGAAACCAGAGGAAGGGGGAGAATTCTAATCCCACCTTAGGCATGAAGGATAGATGGGTAAGCTTGGGCCATTCACTCCCTCTAAACCCAACTTACTTCACAGGGATGTTGTTGGGAAAATAGGAGGAAGGAGTATTAGCTGTGTTAACATTCCTGGTTACACTCGAATGAAAGACTATCTAAGAGCAGAGTCTTTCAGATTTTCCAAATTTAAGAGGTGTGGCCTTCCACTCCCAGAATTCTGACTGAGGGATTCTGGGAGTTGAAGTTCACACATCTCACCGTGGTCAAGACTGAGGAACATTCACCTAAAAATTCACCAGCCCAGGAAGTTGAAAAGCATCCTAAAGCACAAAGACAACTCACATCCATCCTTTTTTTAGCACCAGTGATGATGCATCCAGCAATTGTTCCTTAATATTCTAGGTGGTTTGTATTCAATCAAGACCAGTGATTTGAAAAGCAGGGAAAACAGGACGTGTGAATCAGCCTGCTGTGGTTAAAAACATTTGGCTCACTCAGTGGGTTCAGGGATTCCATTCTCCCTCCGTGAAAATTCTCCATTCTTCTTGTCCTTTGGAGGAGAAAAAAATGGCAGGAGAATTTTTCTAGATGGCTCTCATTCCTAAGTCAAAGGAGAAAAAAAAAAAAACAGCTGGCCGAGTAGCTATTATGGATGCGATTCTTTTTTGAGGGTGAATGCTTAGTCTCTCCTCCTAATCGCCAATGTCATGTGAATTTGCAGCTTTCCACCGGTCTCGTGGGGTAAAGGGAGATAATTACCGTGGGGAAAAATAGCTGTGTTCTCAAGATCATTTACTATTTGGAAATATGTGTCAGCAAAGGGATTCGTCTCATGCATTTCAGTATCGTTAACCCAGAGAACTGCTGTGCATTTCATCTGTCTGGGAGAGAGAGTCTTCTCCCCTTTTCCTCCATGCAGCTAGTCCTCAACTGTAATGGAGGCCTGCTTGTTACGGCTGTAAGTCGTAACAGTCATAAAAATGGGTTGGTCATAGGATTTTACAAGGCAGTCCTAAGCGTGAACATCATGGTTGTTAAGTGAATTGTTTGTTTGCTATGGCCCGATTTTGCCAAAAACTGGAAGTAAGTTCTCTTCTTTTTCCATTCTGCCTCTCCTCTCCTCTGTCTCTCCCCTCTCTCCTCTCCTTTCCTCTCTCTCCTCTCCTTTCTCTCTCTTCTCCCTCTCCTCTCCCTCTCTCTCTCCTCTCTCTCTCTCCTCCCCTCTCCTCTCTCCTCTCCTCTCCTCTCTCTCACTCTCCTCTCCCTCTCCCTCTCTCTCTCCTCTCCTTTATCTTGTCTCATCTCGTCTCCTCTCTCTCTCCTCTCCCTCCTCTCCTCTCTCTCTCTCCTCTCAACTCTCCTTTTCCTTTTCCTTTCCTTTTCTCCTTCTCTGTTTTATGCTCTCAACAACTCTGCAAGGTAGGGTTAGGCGGTGTCAGAAATGAACAACCAAACCCACACATGTAGAATTCAAGCTAGATACTTTATTGTTCTATGGTTATTTCA